CACTAATCCCTGGGGGGATTGAAAAAAGCTGAAGTTTCAAAATTTGGATATCTATTGCAACGTATACGAGGGATGCTGGGTGAGCCGCCGATGAGCTGATGAGCCGTCGCACTTGTATCATGCAGCGGCGGCCGTATCATCGGTGAAATCCGGGTATGGGATTTCGGCTGTTAGTATAGCTAATACGGAGCAACGGATTCTGCTCTGTCTGCCCCCTTTCGCTATTTCTGACTGTTCGTTGGTTCTCGTTGATGAACTCGCACATGACTGCTAACGGAACTCATCTGTCCCGCTCTGCCTTGGGCCTCGACAGAGGTCCTGACATCCGTAACAGCTGGTAGTATAGGTAGACAGTACTGCCGTCAAAGACAAGGGAGGTTAGGGTGGAGCACCACCTGGGTCTGGGTAGCACTGGCTGACGACAGCTTATAAGCCAGAAATGACCATTCGAGTCTCCCTTGTCTTTGCCGGCAATACTATCTCCTTGTTGATTGTCTATCGCCCGTGTTGTTTACCTGCACGTTTTGTTTAGTTCTGTGTACTCTAGTAATGTAAGTGTGTCATCCCGACTGTTGTCGTTAGGATCATGCTCCATCCCCTTCTGCCCGCCCACCCGCTTGCTACTGGTGATAACGACCGTAAAGCGTAAAGCCGCATAGGCCGCTGGTCGATCTATGTAGTGGTTTCACTGCTATGATTATACGGCCAGATGATCCTTGTACAAAGGGTTTTCAAGTAAAGTCATGTCAAATCATAGAATAGGAGACAATGATGCATAGGTAAGCTCGATGAGTCATATTGTACAATCAGCTGTGTGCGCAGTAACTAATTACATCACCCATCGATTCTCCCCTCTTGCGTGGGTTGTAGGTTTCACTTTCGGAAAATACGGGAAAAACTCACTTAAATGCTGGTGCATTTGGCTTTTCGGGGGGCCTAACTATCAAGACAGTGAAAACAGATGTTTTTTGGCAAGACGTGGGAATATGAACCTGTCCCCCCTCTTGCGCAAGACCATCTGCATTACTGGAAGGTTCCTTCTTGTCATGTCCTTCCCTTATTTTCAGCTGGAACTTACTGCTAGCTGTAAGGCTATTGGGGATCAACAAAAACCGGCAGTATTCTCCAGTGCTAGTAGACTTAGCCTACACTCTTTTGAAAAAACATTCGTTAAACCTAGTTTGTTCCTCGGCGATTAGGACTTCCCATTGTCACCTGCATCCGCCTTCCATCGAGTCATCCAACATACGAAATGTGTCAATCTACTGCTCATTTTTCCTCCTGTCCTTTGTGAGTTTTATCGGCTATGCCCCGAAATTACCCAATAACACAGTCGACAGTTGCCAGTTATTATCCCATTAGCCTGACCTTAGTGGTTGGTATTACTTGTAGCACATCTTTGTCAATTTGGTGATTTATACTGGGCTTTTTAGGCGCCATAAATAATTGCCTTACAAAAACTTCTGCGCGGGTGGTGCTAATGTTTCTTGTATCTCTTCTAGGATGAACAGACACCCCTGCATCTGTCAGCCCTCACAGGAAGCCTCGAGATGGTCACTCTTCTCCTCAGCGCTGGGGCCGATCCAAACCTCACAACTCGTGACGCCTACACTGCCCTGCATATTGCCGCTAAAGACGGTCGTTTGGACATTGTGCAGGCCCTCCTTGAAGCTGGTGCTGACCCGGATGCAAGAACCAGGGTGGGTGATTGAAACTGTATGCCTCTAGAGTGTGGTGGCTAGCCTAGGGTCGGCTCCGGCCGTGTCAACTGCCTGCGT